AAGCAGATCTGACTGGTACAGGAGGAAATTGTCCCTCCTTCTCCAGCAGAGCATCTGGTGGATTCGAACCATGTACCTTTGGGATTGCAGTACAGCTTCTTGCCACTAGGTTACCAGAGCTCCCCCTCAATTTTATTTTCAAGACACAAGAAAGCCAAGTAACATTTGATGAGCATTGGCTGAGTGCTAGATCCAAGTACACACTTAGCACACATCTCTTCCTTTCTGTTAGTCTTTACTACAAATACATAAGAGTGTATACTTTTTGTATTAATTAATACAAAAAGAGTTAAGAACATTTCCAAGATTATGTAAGTGGCAGAGGTAGAAGTTATAGTTGTATATTTCTGGCCTAAAAGTCTTTTTTTACTAAACTGTTCTACCTGCCAGATAAGGTAGCTGGATATTGTCTTCCTTTTGTGTCCCTACACTACTTACCATCCACTAAGTAGATTTTGTTTTTAAAGAAGTAAATATTTTTGTGTATCTTTGGTTTCTTTTGTAGTGGAAAGTTGGGGATAAATGTTGTGCCATTTGGTCAGAAGATGGCTGCATTTACCCGGCTACCATTGAATCAATTGATTTTAAGAGAGAAACCTGTATTGTGGTTTATACTGGATATGGGAATAAAGAGGAACAAAATCTGACTGATCTACTTTTCCCAACATTTGGAGGAGCTAATAATGTAGACCACAGTGTTCAGGAGATTACTCAAGAGGTAAGACAATTTGAAAAACAAGTAAAATTCTTAGAATCAGAGAATGTGTAAGAAACTAATTACTATAATCAGTTTGATCTATTGAAGCACTAACACTTTTAAAACTGTGACATTTTTATAATCATACTGCCTGTTTTTTTCTTCCTTTTTACAGAATGAAAATGAAAGTCAAATTTCAACAGATGACAGTGAGAACTCCTCCAGGTCTCCTGGAAATAAATCAAGTAACTTTAAGTCTAAAGCTGCTCCGTGGAACTCTTTTCTCCCTCCACCACCCCCGATGCCAGGACCAGGACCAGGAAAGGTAAGCTTACTACTCAGAAAAAAATTTCCCAAGAAATAATGGATAGAATTGGAACATTGACTTTCTGCATAAACTTGATGGTCAAACCTACATGGCACAATATTGTGAAAGAACACAAGCTGACATACACCTGTCCTGAATTTAAATCATGTACTATGTTTCCTTATTATGCTTGAATGACTGAGTCTTGGTTGATGTACAAGTTTCTCATGAGCACAGTTAAATGTTGTGGAATTCTCATTCTTTTCATTGTTAGCCGTAATTTGAACATGTTATTAGAAGATATCAGCCTGTAGAGAAGGACACCACACTCAGAAATGTATAGAGAGTTGGTCCATGAGAATAAATCCCTCAATGAGATAGATTGACACAGTTATTACAACAGTGGACGTGAGCACAGAAGAGATTGAGGATGTGCAGAATCTAGTAAGATTTTGATCTGTTGTACATAGGGTCACGGTGAGCCAGAATTAATTTGCCAGCTTCTAAGAGAAGATCACATAAATGCTACACAGTCACAGATTCCATTTGAGAATTCTTTGAAAAAGAAATAAGATAGGAAATGATGCAGAATATAAAGAGTTTTATACTGAAAGACACATATATATATACTTTTATACTGAAAGAGTTTCCCAGCCATTTTTGTGGAATGCTAAGAAGAATTAAACTATCAATTTAGCAAAGTTATATAATAATACTTTATCATCAGGTGGATGATACTCTAGCTCTTCAGAAGACCACTTTTGTAAAATTCATGAAAGTAGACAGAAAATATAGTACAGGTGCCCTTTTTTTGCAGTTTATAAATATTTACATCTAATGTGGATGTTTTGTTGTTATTATTAGGAGCCATCAAGTCAAATATGACTCCAAACAACTGTATGGACAGGAAATGTGAACCTTGCCCTGTCCTGCCCCATCCTCATTCATGATCTCTCATATGTTCCCGCCCATTTTTAGAGTCACTATGTTGATCCATCTTGTTGAGGCTCTTCCTCTCTTTCCCTAATCTTCCACCTTTCCCAGAATGATGTGTTTTCCCAAGGACTATTGGTAGAGGGAGCTATAGTGGCCTGATGGTGAGGAGTTTCACTGCCAACCCAAAGGCAATTTATTTGAATCCACCGAGAGAGTTGAGAAATCTCCCCTACTGTAGTTTCCCGCCTCTGACAACCCGCTGGAGGGTCAGCTGTGAATAATAACAGTATGGATAGAATCTTTTTTTTTTCTTCCTTTATCAACAGTGAATGACTAGAAACCCTAAGTCTTTGTAAACTTTCATTAAAATTAATAAAAAAATTACATTTTACCAGTAAAATTTATTCTGATTTTAATATTAACATTTGTTTTTTATATTTAATCTCCTTTTTTCAAATCCAGCTTTTTTTTATTAAATTTTACTAATTTTAATAATCATTTACAGAGATTTTGGGTTTCCATTCATTCATTGTTGCACTATTTTCTCTACCCTCCCCCCCAGTATGTTCCTCTTCCCCCCGCTTGAAAGTCTGTTCTAATTGTCCCATTGCCACAGTGTTTGTCAAAGCCAGTTCTGATTAATCTCCTTTGTCAGTGTGTCCTTTGCCATTCCCTATCACACCTCCCTGAGAGAGACTTCACCCTGATTCATAAGGAAAAGGGGATGGCGTGTTCTCCTAGCTACTTCCTGCTGAAAAGGGACACTGTAGGTTTCAGGGTGAAGATTGTCTCTCACTACTTTTAAGGGCATCTTTGGCAATAGGAAACACATAGATGATTATGGAGATTGATTTTGGAATTTAGATGCACTGTTATCAGTTGTGCTTAGCTGTACATGTTCATATCCTTGAAGATGTATCGTGGAACTGTTGCAGCCTAGAAGACACAAATTTGACTAACAAGTTAAAAGTACATGAGTCAAAAATTAGAAAGCTCTAATATTCCAAGTAGAGGTTCTACCAGTGGCACAAAGTAAGTTACAGAGGGAAGGTAGTTCTTAAAATAAAAGGCCTATTGACTAGCACTTTGTGTATTATAGTATAGAGGTTAGGAACCATAAGATGTAGAAGTTTAACTATGTCATTTATTGTTCTTAAGTCTTGGAGCAAATTCCATCTACCACTGGGTTGTTTTCTAGCTTGGAAGTCCACATGCAAGGCAGAGGTGAAGTAAGGAACTGCTTTAAAAAAACTTTAAGTTAGAGTAAGGATGGCAATGGATTTATAACTGCTCATGCCAATAACACTATATCGTGGCATGGAGGAGGATTAGTGGAACTGTATCCACATTTACAATATTCTTCTTACCAAAACCATTTATGGAAAATAGGAGCATTGGAACATGTATCTCTGGATTGGAAATGGTCATATTGTTAATATTTCTAGCCTTAAGCGTAAAAGATTATAATGTTCAAAATTATTTGTTATACATTTGTTTAAATTTTTCCCTCTTTTAACAACTGGGATCTAGAGGGAAGAGAAAAGACCAGAGAATGGCCAAAATTATTGGGGCAGCTACTGCTGCCAGTTTAGGGCCTGTGGCAGGAAAAGGAAGTATTACTCATACACAGTGCCATCCAAAGGTAATAAAGGAGGAGGTCAGAATTGCTTCCACTGTGGAAAGCTGGGCCACTTCAGTAGACAGTGTCACAGGTGAGAGCCACAGATAGGCAAGGGAGTAAAGAGGAAGCTCCCACTCACTTGCTTTAAGTGTGGATCTGAAGGACACTTGGCCAAGGGTGGCCCATATCAGGTCCTCGTGGCTGACAGGACTGACAGGCCCCAGCTCCCAGCTGGAAACAAAGGAGGGCGCTTCAATGATTTAGATCCTCCCAGAAGAGCTGTGGGTGAGCATTAACATTACTGGTAGGTATATTCGTTTTCTCCTTGACGCAGAGCCTACTGTTTGGTCCTAAAAGCCTTCTGAGGTCCCATCTCTTCTCACTATTGCTTTTGGAAATGACGGAAAACTTCATATGGATAGAATCTTAAAAGGGCTCCAAGTTGTTTTGAATAGATAATAATGTGAATTATAAGGCTTCTTTTAAGTAGTAGAAATATAACAAAAAAGATTTGTTTCTTTTTGATTGACTTTTGCTTTGCTTTCACGTTTCTTGAAGTGAAAACGAGCAACCTCATAATTTTTTTAGATTTGAATTATGCTTAATTAATTGATTTCAGGGGACTAATCTTGTTTGGTGAGAAGTATGCTAGTTTTTACAATATATACTCTTTAAGTATGTGTGTGTATAAGACAGATGTCTGTCCAGAGAATATACGATTTATTATCCATTAGAAAATATAGTCTCTTATGATTGAACTATAATATCCTACTAAATACCAATGTCTCTAATTTATGAAATAATTAAATTTTTTTGTTTTTATTCCCCAAAGAACCATATAGAAATAAAATTAAAAAAAAAAAAATAAAGAACTCTGGAAGGTTGTGAGTTTTACTTTTTTTTTCTTCTTAAGCTTTATTTTTTTAAAAATAATTTTAATGAGCATTTACAGAGATTTTGAATTTCCATTCATTCATTGCTGCACTTCTCTCCCCGCCCAGCCCCCCCCCTTCGCTCCTCTCTTTCAAATAAAAGAAACACTCCCTCCCTGGGACATAATCTCCCCACACCCCTCCCGCCGCCCAAAGTACATTCCACTATGCAGCCTTAATTGTGGACTTTTGTGTGAGTTTTACTTTTAAATATATTTCACTTTAGTATTTGTATAGGAAATTACACTTATTAGTTAATCTCTGTAATACAGATATTACTGTGGGCAATCATTTTGTTTCTTTTGATATTAAATCCTTTTCCTCTCTTTCATTGAAATTAGCAAATTAAGTTTCCTTTGAAATGTTTCTTTGCAGCCAGGCCTAAAATTTAATGGCCCACTACCACCGCCACCGCCGCCACCCCCTTCCTTCTTATCATGCTGGTTACCTCCATTTCCTTCTGGACCACCAGTAAGTGCAAAAGAATTAGATTAAACTTTGCTTTCTCATACATGCTGTAGCATTTAGCAGAATGTAGGTGATTGTGTCTCATTCTTTTAGAGAAGGAATTGCACTTTACAGAAAGGAATAATGACTTGCTTTTCTAGGTAGGTATGACTTTTAGCCTCTTGTCCAATAGACTCTGTTTCTAATAATAAAATTTTAATCTGCAATAGACTGGATATAAAGACTTTTTGACAGGTTGGTGTTTTGGATTGGATTAGATAAGTATTTTCTCAGTATCTTTACTTAAAACTGTCCTTGAAATTTTTTTTTAAAAAAATGTAAATTTAAAAAAAAAATAATAAAGTTTTCCCCTTTAAAGAAATGACTTTGGAAATAATGTACATTTCCATAGCACCAACACTATAGTTTCTCAAGTCACAATAAGATATGTAGAATTACATGCCTTCCATAATTAATATAAATGCCAGCATCTCTAGTACTTATTTCTGTTACATGCCAAACAAAATCAAGAAAGCAGCCATCAAACAAGAGACTCATAGCTTCAGACAAGGCAAACTCCAGGATAGCAGATGCTGCTTCAGTGAAGGGTTTCTGGCATAGCCAACGATGAGGCTGCCAGAGACTGTCCCCAAACCAGCACCAGAACCAGCCACTCCGACTGTTGCAGCTCCTGCACACATCAATTTGGCAGCAGTATCAGCGTCTCTGCTGATTGCACTGGTTTGAAGCTCCCTTGGGATTAGCAGAGACACCATTCTGAGCCTCACTAAATACTGCTGAGCCCTCTTCAGCCCTCGTATCTGGTCACCATAACACTGATGCAGTAATTGATCTCTGTGCAGCCCAGTATCCAGCTCAGATCAGGGCATAAGTGCAGGTGAACTTGGCGCAGGCGATCAGCTTCAACTATTGGGCGGCAGTGTGGCTGGAAGACTTGGCTGAGAGGTGGCATGGGCCCCTCTCCCGCTTCCTCCTCCCTTCTCTGCAGTGACAGAGGTGGCAGAGAGTGGAATATTTACTCTTGATATTTTACTTGTAGTTACATAATGAAATAGAAAATATCGTTGTAGTCAAAGAAAAATGTTGAAACATTTTTAGATCTAATTTCATCCTTGTTCAAGTAAGTTTTAAATTACTGGTTGGCTAGCATTCTGTATGTGGATTGATTTGTCAGATTTCACTTTTTGTTTTAAAAATATTTACTTAGAGCAAAAATACTTGTTTTAAAATTTTTTTTTCTTCTATTTCCAGATAATTCCACCCCCACCTCCTATATGTCCAGATTCTCTTGAAGATGCTGATGCTTTGGGAAGTATGCTGATCTCTTGGTACATGAGTGGCTATCATACTGGCTATTATATGGTAAGTAATCACTTAGCATTTTTATTTAACAATGCCTTTGTGATTGTGTGACTTACTTTTGTTTCTTTTTTTACCTAAACATCATTTATCACATGCCATGTGAAAGAAACCAGTCATAAGGGACTACATAATATATAAATCTATTTCTATAAAATGGCTAGAATTGATGAGAGGCTTGCTAGTTTTTACCGAAACAGAAATTGGTGCTTAGGTTGGCATGTATAAAGGGTAAGGTGTTGGGGATTGATGGCTAAGATGTACATTTTATTTATTTATTTTTTAATAATGAAAACATTCTAAAGCTTAGGGATACCCAGTTCTAAATGTACTGAAAACCAATGACTTGTACAGTTTAAATAGGTGAATTTCATGTGATGTGAATTAGATCTGCACAAATGTGTTGGGGGTGGGGGAGTTGTTTCATTATCTAGGTCCTAAAGTTAAAAACAGGGACTTCTGGTGCCTTTAAGGAGCTACGCTGTCAACCCAAAGGCATGTGGTTTGAATTCACCATCAGCTCCATGGGAGGAAGATGGGCAGTCTCCTCCAGTGCTGTTTACTGCCTCTGACAACCCACTGGAGGATCAGCTATGGGTTGGTTTAGATTTGATGATACATAGCAACAGCAAAGCTACAAACTACCTTAAAATTTGTAAGTGCCATCTAAGGCTTAAATTATTCTTGTGTTAAACCCAGAAAATGTAATTGTACTTTTAAAAATCTTGTTTTAATTATTTATTGTAATTAGATGTCATAGGGTCAGCTACAATTCATAGTGACCCTAAGAATAACAGATCAAAACCCTGTCCTATCGTGCTCCATCCTCATGAACTCTGACGTGCTCAAGCCCAATGTTACAGGCACCGTGTCACAATCCATCTTGTTGAGTAAGGGAGGCAGTTAATTATTTAGACAGTTCACCACTGAGTCCATATCCACCTGCTAGTCCTGACTCACCTTGTTCCTCCATTGCTCCAGGTTTCTGGAAACCAATGTGCCTTGGGTGGCTGCCTACAAGCTTTTAAGACCTGGCACAATACACATTCAACTAGAAGGCATTCATTCATTTATTTGCTGCAGACGTCAGTAATTTATTGTATATTTAGTCCAAACACATTCAAAATGGAAACCCAAAGAATACTTTCCACCTAAAACAATGAAACTAGATTCTACCAGCATATAATGCTTAACACATTACACCAGTAAAGATGGTAATCCATTATGTTCTATACCTACTAAAGCCAAGATGTTAAAGTCAGTTTGGTTGCAATAGTGTCAAAAGGATAGATTATTACCATAAAAAAAAAACCCAAAAAACAACCAAAATCAGCAAATAACAGTTATGGCAGATGATTATTTTTGCCCTGTTTCACTGAAAGGGGGACATAATGTTAAAAGTCCACAGTACTGCAGGTGAACAATCACCATGTAAACTTCTTCGTATGTTTTATTCATGGTATGTAAAGACTGAAGCTGAATTGCTCTTTGCTCTAATTTTTCATTACACTTAGTTATTTGTCATTGGTTTTGGTGCCAAAACATAGTTAAATAGTTTTATGAGTAGCAGGGCAATACATGGGATAAGGAGGGAAGGAGTCTAAACATTTTATATATAGATATGATGGAAAGAAACAACAACAAGAACAAAAATATCCCACTAATTTTGGGGGCGTGGGGTAAGAACACTGACAATAAGCCACATATTTAAAAGCAGTTTGAATAAAGGCTTCAAAACTCGAAAGTAAGCTTCTAGTGAAAACTTCAAGTACTATACCTAACATCTGAAAATGTTTAAAACTTTCAAACAGATGAAAAAAAGAACTTTAAACTCAAAAAGTAGAAATATGTGTCCTCAAAACTATATCCAATAGTGCAATACAACTTTTCTTCAAACATGGAAGACCTCATTAAAGGGAGTAAAAAGGACAGAATTCATTTTAATCATATTGTCCAGTACATGAAAAATAAAATGTTATCATTTGCTAGTTTACTAGACAGTACAGTTACATAATTAATTCCTATCTAATTTGCAAATAGGGCAACTGCAATTTGTTTTTAACCAATATAGAATGGAGAAGTCTTCTATGCTAACAAAGCAGCTTTAATAGTCACACTTATTCATCTCACTCCTAACCCAAAACATCAGAAACTGGTACGTACTGCATGCTCCAAGCATAAAATTAGAGATCCTTCACCATATCTGTGATTTGCTGGAGCTTGCTATAAAGACAGACTATAATGCAGCAGCTACAAACTTTGCTCACAGAATTGTTTAAAGATTCATGTAAAAATAGAAGATGTCATCCCAGACTTAAATTTGAGCCACTCAGGTGCTGACATCAGTTCAAGAATTGTTCAAAATAAATGACACTTCCCTGCCCCCTAGTAGAAAATTCAAACACTTAAAGAGCTGCTGCTGTTCTTTGAAAATTGCAGTATCCTCTATTCAGGCTTACTTGCTATTTATGGAATCTAACTACTTTTAAAATGTCACTGAAACTACATCAAGTTGACTGAGTTTTCAAAGCACCTCTCAAGTGATACACTTCAATGTTCAAAATCTTGCTAAGAGAAAGTCAACTAGAGTCATACTCAAAAAGTTGACTTCCTACTTCCCTTTCCCTCCCAAGCACACAAGACTCCCCCCAACAGAGAACACAACATTGTTAACTAAAAAACAAAGTAAATAATATGCTAGTTAATTTTACTGATTTTAAAGATACTGCAATTTTTATACACTTCAATGATTTTTCAATATTTTGCACCTGTTTGGCTTTGCAGCACAGCAATTCATACATTATACTGTACAAAATTACCAGCAAGACTGGAATAATGTATTAATAGAAGACACCATCATGCTTATTACATTACCAGTGAAGAAAAATACAGGAAAGACAATTTTCACTGTACACAGCTTAAAGAAGGAAAGGGGGTAGGAGGAGTGTGTTGAGCAGCCAGTCATCCCTGTACTGAAGAGGGCCAGGTAGAAAATCTTAGTTATGGAGCTATTAAACCAAGAAATCTGGAGAACAACCACTTGGCCAACTGACTGGAAGAAATCGATATTTGTTATTTTCTATCTCATTTTCCTCCCCTCTATAATCCTTCTCATCCCCAGTAACCATGCTTCTATCTTAATCTTTCTGACAGTTACATGTACTCTTCCACCATTCCCAAGTTATTAAAATCAGGAGTAATATCTAGAAAAACCTACCTGGAAGGTGTCAGAGTAACTGACAATAATGGAGAATTTAAAGATCTAGCATGCCTGATTCTGGCCATAGTCTTTTCAATCATTTGCTACAATGCTAAGAGCTGGACAAAGAATTAGGATGACAGAAGAATAGTAGATGCCTTTGAACTGTGGTTTTACTAGAGTTAGAATGTCCCATTGACTGCCAAAGAAAGAAACAGATATGTCTCAGAGAAGGTGCAGCCAGATTGAGGCAAGGATGATGATGAGGCTTTGCCCCATACTTTAAGGACAGGAAAGGATTCAGATCTGTTCATAGGATCACTAGGAGTCATACTCAAGTCGACGGCACCTAACAACAAAAAGCCTTTAGATTTTTATCACTCACTCATTGCCATCAATTTGGATCTTACAGCTGACAAACCCTTCCTTGGGTTTCTGATGCTGTAAATCACATGGGAGGAGATTGTCCATTCTTCTCCTTTAAGAGTAGTTAGCGGATTTGAACCACCAGGGGCATAGTCTCTGCTTAGAACTGCAATTCTCTATGGACCACACTACTTATAAAAGTTGCCTTACATAGTATTTGTCCTTTTGTGACTTATTTCACTCAGTATATTGTCCTCTAGATTCATCGATGCTTTGTAGTATTTCAGAATTATTTACCTTTTTTTAAATTTCATTGATAATAATGGGTGACTAGAATGGAAAAGTTGGGAACAAAGAAGAAGATTCAGTAGATGGAAAGCATGGACTCGGTGACAGAAATGGAGATGGAGAGAGAATGATCAAATTTTGCACAATCAATGACTTATTCATAGCAAATACATTTTTAAGAGACATAAAC